GCAATGTTTTGGAAAGAGTACAGGCCTTGAAACATTTGCCCCCACCTCAAGATAAAAACATGAGGGCCTGTAAGAACAAGAAGCAAACAAGTTATAAAATGTAAGCATGTGCAATTTGAGTTTCTTTGTTAATTATCTCAAAATCTGCTTGTGAAGCAGCAAACAGGTTCTGGAATCCAGTCCTGGTCCTTGATTGCACACTGGCTTAATTCCAGTGCAAGAGGAATCCTTAAAGCTTAGCTCTCAGGCAGTAAGACCATGCCCTGTGTCTCAAACCACCAAAGAACACATGGAGTGCCTGTAGGCACAACTGACCCACACCCTGTGAGGGCCAAGTGGCAAGCAGTTGCCAGCAGTCTGCTCCATGAGCCAAAAGTGGGCCAGGTGATTCCCACTGCACTCTGGAAGCTTTGAAACATTACTCAAAACCCAGAAATAGGCACAACTCCAGCTGGAACTGAGGAATGCCATGTCCCACTGGAACCTTGGCCCAGGTCTCTGTGAGCTTCCTGCGTTACTCCCACCAGACATGCAGAACACATGCTGCCATCAGACCTTGGCCAGTCCAGTTGCCCACTTCCTACACAAGTCCTATAAGTAATGAGAAACACCACACTTCTCTTGGCCTGTACCAGCAGATACCACAACCGAAGACATCTACTGGCCCCTCAGGGACACACTCTACCTCCTGGACCTAATACTGCTCTTGATCTTTGGCTTCCACCATTTCCCCCAGAACATTGGACTACATCGGATTAACTGTGTTAGCTTGAAGAGATTCAGTAACTGCCTCAGGCAAACAGATCTCAGGGGGCTCTATTCAGTGTGGTGACTGTGCCCCTAAAATAAAGGTGTACAGTGGGTAAACAGGACACAGTGGGTAAACAGTGGGTAAAGCTCCCTCCAATGAAATGTAAGACCTTGGTTAGTCTGCATACATTTGAAAAGTATAATTAAATAAATAATTAAAATATAATATATGTCTACATAGGCATTTTCCCAAACTCTCTCATGTGCATATCTTTCACATAATAAAGATACCTTTGAGGATGTGAAAACACTTAAATCTATTATCTAACCAATTTCAATCCTATGTGCAGTGCTATAGCATTTAGCAGAGTTACCAGTGTATCTCCAGATACTCTTTAGTATGTATAAGAGAACAATCTTCAGTTTTCATTAACATCTCCCTTTTTGCACACCCCACAGATGCACTATCTTTAAATTTTCTATTTTACCAGATTTTTTGCAGGTGGTAAGTATGAATATGACCATGCAGTAATTTTTCTGCACAGAATATTTCAATTTATGATTTACAGGTTAGTTTAAACTGTAATGAATGGCATGCATGGTATCCATTTGTGAGACTATACATTATTCCAGTGCAATAAATGACCCTTTTTTTGTATACTGAAAAACTGTTATGGTACTAAACATCCTCTATATGCTGAATTTTGCACATTTTGTTACAAGGGAGATTGTTGTCTCAAAGAATATCATACAGATTCTGTTAAGGACATTAACATATTGATGTTTTAGAGGAAGGTCTCTGGAATAGACTCTATAATGATAAATTCGATTCTTGTTTTTCCCTTTCTTGTCTCTGTCTCTCTCTCTATTAGGTGAAATGAGGGTAACAAGAGTTCCTCATGTTGTGCATATGCAGTATTATTTCCTTTTAGCAGGACGTCCTCTGGAACTTATCTATATGAATATGTTCTTCCTTTTACATTCTAACAGCTATTTTGCATGGTAATTGAAAGCTCACTGACAGAAGTAGCATTACATGAGCAGGCAATCTGGCATGGCAAGGCAGTTTACCCAAACTCAAAAAGGTTTCCAAAACCAACATAAATTAGAACTACAAATGGAAGTGCTACATCTTCAGCCAGATTCATTGTTGGTGATTTGGGTTCAAACTGCTCAGGCTTATGTCTGGGCATTAAAGATGTCTACCCTATCCCCTTGTCGTGTCATGCAAGCCACACAGTGTGAACAGAGTGGAGGATCTCATAAGGATCATCAGCCTAAAAACAACTCAAAGCCAAAAATAAACCCAAATACATAAGTGTTCCTTTATCAAAATACTACATGTTATTGTCCTGATTCAGTTATTTTGGAGGAACTCATTAATAAAGCACTCAAAACAGAAACAGTAATTTAAGTATCATGTTCTATAGAGGATTTAAGAGGCCTTGAAGGTGTGGATCCAGTGACATTAGTGGAGTTAGAAAGAATATCATGATCAAATAAAAGGAAATTGAAAATGAAATGTGTTGACAGGGCACAGAATATATCTAATTGAGCAAATATTACTTGTACACATTAAATCCTTTGAACATGCTCAACACATTTGCTTAATCCATGTTTGGGGATCTATATCTATATCTATATCTATCTATCTACCTATCTATCTATCTATCTATATATATATATATGTATATATAAAACAATAAAAATTTCACATGAAATACTAAAATCTCATGAATTTCACTGAATATGTTCCACTGTAATCACCAGTTGTTCAGCACCAGTGTTCTGTTGCAGAAGAGCAGTGATTCATCATTGCTGTCCTCTGTCATGAGCAAGTACTTCACCCTACATCACTAGTGCACAAAAGCAATAAAATTTAAAAAGAAAGTAAGATTCCTATTAGATAATTTTTGTGTATTTTGCAGAAAATTTTTACTGCTGTTAAACAAGCTACTGTCTACTGGAAATAATCCCTAGAACTCATATTTTGTATTGAAAGATGGTCATTCTTAATTTTTCAGGTCAGTTGTAACTTTTATCAAAGTCCCGAAGTGCCTGAGAGTAAAGGTGTGAATTATTGTACATCAGTGATGTTTATTTTACCCAAGCATTCAAATCTTGGTACATCGTGGTTTAAAAAAATATTTCAAACTTAACTGGCTTAGTGACACCTATGTATTATGCTTGCATTAAAAGAGTTACAAATACTGGTAAAAATTCACACCACAGAGGGCAATGTAGTAAGACCTGATCTCAAAGAATTTTAGAGAATTAAAAACTTAGACAAAATTCCAGAGTTCAGTCCCCAAACAAAAAAATATATAAAAAACCAAATATGCTGAACACAGTGATGTATACATGTAGTCCCAGCTCTATGGAGGCTGAAGAAAAAGATGGTTATGAATTTGAAGCCAGCCTACACTCCAAAGGAGATCCAAACTCAAAAATGATTCCATAAACTGACCAGTGGTAGCAGAAGGCATAGTTCCTTATTATTAAATTTCCTTCCTTTCTTCAAGCCTGTGACATTTGCCTAGCTCACAGAACCAGCAAGCACACAAATGTGCCTTCATGCTTACCCTAAGAACAATCTGAGTTTCAGAACTCTTTTCTTGCTAAACAAAATCTCTTTATACGTAAACACTGATATGCAGCACCTGTTTCATTTCAGGCTTCTACCCTACTCCAGGACTCCTTTGAAAGAATAACTCAAGCACTGCTTTTGTATTTAAAGAAAAATAACAATCAGGTAAAGAATTATAGCCCTTAGTACAGAGAAGACACCAGGGCTCCATTCTGCTTGCAGATATATCACATATATATGTCCATGTAAATGTCCCAATACAAGAAGTCTCTCAATGAAGATTTAATAAGCCGCCTCTTTAGGAAGTTGTCTATGGCAGCTATACTATCCCTTTCTGTGTTAAGACTTTAACACCCACTACATTTTCCTTAGTGTTCTAACTTTGTGGCAGAACTCACTTAACCTAATTGTAAGTAGAATTGTCAGTTACAGAATAAAAATTTGAAATTACCATGGCATTGCTCTATATGGAACTCAGGAGTTTACTGAGTGTTTGGCCGGTGTCCCTCTGCAGTGGCACATCACCACATATTTTTTTAATCTCAGGTCCACTTTTAATACTTAACACGGCTTTAGAAATACAGGAAAATAGTAGAAATTTAGAAGATTATGACAAATATTAAAAAGCAAAATTTGAGGAAGAGTTGTGTGTATGAGACCCTGCATCACAGATATTTACAACCCTCAGACGCTCCGGCTGTGTGGGAGACTGGAATTAAACCAGAGATCTAGCTCACTACTACAGCATTCACCTGCAAATTGCATCTGAGCTTGGATCTCACCAAGACCCTTCCTATTCCCAGAATGCTGCAGATGCAAATGTAGCAGTGGTTTTCTCAAGGTGGCACTCGGGCAATGGGTGTCATCGTCGGTAAAAGGTCCTGAGAACTCAAAACTGGTCTTGCTCTAGTAATGGTATAGGCAGCTGAAAAAAAATACAAACATTATGCGCAGTCAGAGAGTCAGGCCCTCAATGGAACCAGTATAGAAGATCAGATATGCTGCCACTATGGAGGTAACAAAAATTTCCCACTGTGGACCAAATCTCAAAACAAAAGTTAAAACAAGCAGAACCTCACCCTGTATAAACACCAGGGATTGATATTCTCAATAGTTATCCATCACCTTGAGATAGACGAAAGCCACTAATCCATCTCCCTACAGCAAAGGGACTGCTCCCCCTTGCCACCTTCTCTAGTGGATCTCAATTTCATCAATTAATTGAGCAATTAACTCATAATCTTATTGACTGACTGTAATTCTGTCTCACCTGAGGCCTCTCTGTATTGCGAGTTCCCATTCCTCCCACTCCCACCTCACCTTGTGGTTTTGCTATTCTAAAATCCCTACAAAAGTCAAAGTACTCAGAATCAGGACATCTAGTAAGTCCTTCTACAGGCAAGGGGAAAAAGGAAAAGATACAGATTCAATACCCATCTTACATTTCATCAGGATCTGCAGTTAACAGCAGGAACCCCAGAAACCACAGTTACAGGTTTTTTTTCTCCTGTGCTACTGGGCTTCAAACTCAGGATTGTTTGCTTTTTCAGTCAGGCTTTGTGCTATATCCCAAGCTCTAACCTACCACAGTTAGTTTCGACCAATTCTAACTAGACCTTTTCCAGATTCTGCCCCACTTAGTCTTTCTGTCCCAAAATGTTACCATTGCGCAGCTTGAGTGTCTCCTAGGGTCTTTCTTATACAGGCAGTAGCTTGTAGAAGTCACAGAAAGCACGACATCCAATAAAGCTCCTCTCCACAGTGTGCTAGCGGTAAGCACTTTGGCGCCATGACACCGGAAGAGCCTTCCCCCCTTGCTGTCTCTGATTGGACCATTGAGACAGTTTCCTCCATTTTCATTGATTGACGCATACTCTGAGCGCTCTCTAAGCCAACCAGAAAACAGAAACAAATCTTTACCTTTAAGAGCGGAACCCGGGTGCAAGATTGTAAGGCAGGGACTTCTGGACCAGGTTCTCTTATAAAATGTTAATCTCATCTCACTTGCCTACTAACACTTGCATTTAAAGACTTTACCCTAAGGTCTCAGAGGTGACACTATTTTCTAAGAGGACTCAGTGGAGATTCTTTTTGAACATTTCTAAACACAAAAATGCGTTTAGAAGATTCTGATACCGGGGACTGAAACTCACAACTGATAGAGTTTTCGGAACGAGGAAACAGAAAAAAGAATATAAAGAAACAGTGGCCTTTAAGGACGAGGAGGTTCACCTCACAACCAAAGACAGCTGGGTCTCTTCTGATCGGGACGTGCGGTATAGGAAATATATATATATATATACACACACATATATATAAAACCTTTGACCCGGGTTTGCACTTAGGGTGGGCATTGGTGACATGTCAGCAGCTGATTGGAACTATTTTCCTGCTGCTGGTAGAAGGAAAAGGAGGTTGTCATAGGGGAAGAGGGAAGAGACCTCAAGGTAAACATCCCATGGTCCCAACCCCCACTGTGGTAATATTGAATCTAGGGCAAAATCCTTTCACTAATCTACCATATGTCAAATATGAGTTCATATTCTCTAAAATGGAAGAATAAATTTTAGGAACAATAGAGGTTAATAGTGATATATATTTATAGAGAAAAAGCAAGCCTCTGTATAAGAGATAGAGAAGGGGTCCTGAGCGGAATGCCAAAAACTGTCTTTTCTAGACACTTTTCTTTTTTGATACTGGTAATCAAACTCACAACCTCACACTTGTCAAATAAATGCTTATAACACTGAGCTAAATTCCCAGCACCTGTAGGGACTTTCATAGAATTAACTCATGAGATTAAATAGGTCCAAAGTAGTGAAAAATGAGAAATCACAAGTTGAGCATAAGGCAGAACAAAACTGTGGTCAAACAATAACATTAATGGCTCAGGTAAATGAGGAAAAATGGGGAAGTGTGTAACATAGTAAGTGGACATACTTAACAGCAGTGACTCTTCTGTATGGGTCAGGGTACTGACCCCTGTCTTCCCCAGAGTCACAGAGAGCTACTTACATTGTTGATCCTTAGGATGTGGTTGTGTTTTATTAGCGTTTTAACTTGAGGTCTGCCCCACAGTGGGAGGGGATTGTCTCTTCCAAGGCTGCAACTTATCTGAATTTCTGTTCTTTTTCCATTCAGGGATCATCTTGGTTTCACTACCTGTTATATTTCTAACTGACTCTGCTTCTTGTAAAAGTTCCAGAACCAATAGTCTAGTAAAGAAACAATTCCCTTACATCAGAAACAACCAGACTACAGGCCAGCCCAGGGACACCTGGTTGTTTGATAGGTCAGTATTTGGCAATGACATACCTGGATTTGATCTGAAGATTTTCACAGTATTTCTTCCGTCTATTAATTTTCAGCTAAGAAAATGAGTATCTGCCCTATAAAAGGAAAACAAAACATTAGGAATAAATCAAAAAAACATTCTGCAAAAGAGCAAAAATGGAAAAAGCCAACATTTCAACTCTTCCACACAAGTTTGCTGCTCATTCAAGGTCAAACCCCACCTGAAACATTTTGGAACATAAGCATACTGCCAAGCCTGAGGGTCAGAAGTGCAGCCCCACTACTCATCCACTGAACCATTTCCTTGTGGTGAGCAGGAAAACATAAGCACTTCCCACTGTAATTTTTCTGTCCTCACAAATTGAAATTTTGCCTCTTTCAAGACATTACTCTTCCTAGAAAGAACATATTGGCTGGAGCCATGTAATATATTTGTTAACTCAATTAGCTTATGAGATATTAAAAGAGCACAGCTCTAGGTGTGTCTGGTGAGTTACTGTGAGTTTGGTATAACACACTAAATCTGGTCTGTGGATCGTTTCTCTTTGGCTCCTTCTATAATTGTGCACCTGAGCGTCATAATTTGGTTACCAGTGTTGTGTTTTTACTTCTATTTGTCAAGATGTTTCTACACTGGAAATAGACAAAACCAAACTACAACCTCAAACAAGGAGACAAAAAGAACCTACATTTCTTAAATTCTGTGTCTCAAGTAGTTCATTCCTGTAGCTAATTAACTAAGTACATAAACAAATACATAAAAACCTAATAAAATTCAGTTAGGTGTCTCTCCTAAATAATCTTCCAAATGCATCAATTACTTTGATACTATATTTGAATGACTGATGCCTTTTAATGTATCACATATATAAGAAGGAAGGTGTGCTCTACCAAAGTGGTTACAATTCATAATTATGTGCTTGTTACTGCTGACAGGTTGTGATGATTTGACCAGGCTTCTTCTAGCATGCATTTCTGTAATTCCAGTTTTAGGCAACCTAACTTTATTTAAGTTCAAATATTTGTAATTATTTCAATCTTTCTTTTTTCTTATTTCTTTTGATATTTGGGACATGGACACAGACACCATTAGCTTTCCCTGTATTCCAATTTGTAGATTCTTCTGCACAATATTCAGGAATAGAAAATTATGTTAAAACATTCATATATACAATCATAGTTCTACATAGAGTTATAGAAGATGGTCTCTATACACAATGAATTAACCTTTGAATGTGAATATTTATGACATAATATCAATTCTTCATATTATCTTTAGTATGGACAGTGATTTTGAAGAAACAAGTCATTATGGTAGCTCCTGTTGATTTTCCTGTTGTGTAGCCTTGAAGGCCAGTAATGGCATGATTTTTCTGTTTTGATCAATTTTATACTATTTTGTTTTGGTTGTATTAATTTTCTGTGCAGATATACACAACAATTTCAAAAATGAGACATTATTATAGCCACGGTTTGTCTCCTGTTGTCTTGCTTTGAATTCCTGCATCATATGCATTGTTTTATTATGATCTGCTTTGTTCTCTTTTATTATGTTTTGTTTTGCTCTCTTTAAATCAAAAAATATCTTCAATATAATTGTATTTCTAATATCAGTGATTCCATTGGAGAAATGGACAAAAGTTCTTCTAAATTTCTAGTGATAAACAGAGGATAATACTGTATTACAGAAATTTTGGATAAAAGAAGCAAAGAGAGGAGTCATTCCTTCTGGCTACTTCCTTGGCCCCATTAAGAATTAACTATTTAAAATGTAACTTGGAGCAACAGGCACATACATCAAACTTACAAGAAGAATTGAGAAATACTTCTGCTGTATTCAAAACCAAGGCTTGATAAAACTGCCAGCATAAATGCAAAGAAAGTGGCCTTTGAGCCATTGTGAAAAAAGAACTACTTATTTTTAGGCCAAATACATCTCATTTCTAATGAGCACACAAGGAAATGTTCAGTTCAAGCAGATCCAGCACAAAATATGAAGTACATATATGCTAGCTTTACACAATGTATGGAAGAAACAACTTGCTTATCAAAGATTGAGAAAAATGTAAGATTGCAAATCTACAAAAGATAGAGATTTTAAATATATGTGTGTGTGTAGACACACATACACAGACACACACCCAGTCTTATACACACCAAAAATACAATGATTTAAACTTGCTTCAGTTGGAGAAGTATCATTGAGTAAGGATGGAATACCTAGAGCAAGCCAGAACAATCAGTTTTATCAAAAATAAAAACCTTCAGCACAAAAATGAACACAAAATATAAGCAAACTATTTAGGAATGCTCACACATGAAAATAACATGCAAGATTAAGGAAGACAGGCAAATGAAAAACAGCAATGAAATTTAACTTTCTATTTATAGAGTTGCAACTCAGATCATATGTTCATCAAATTAGAAAATGTCCAGTGTTTGTAGCCTATAAGTACATATTATCAAACACTCCTAACAGAGGTGAAAGGTGGGAATTAAGAATAGCATGGTGGGTGCAGTACCATACACCTGTAATATGAGCTGTTTAGAATGCTGGGGCATGAGGCTCACATGTCACAGTACAGTCTGAGCAAAATAGTAACACCTTGTTTTGAAAAAAAGATGGAAACATGTTTTTCAAGTCTTCAATAGCATACAAACTCTGTAGACCTGTAAAGTACCACAAGATGTGTATAATATTTTCTCAAATCCTCTACACCACCCAAAACAAGATTTCTGCAAACTTTACTTGAGTGTGAGAACTGGAAAAGGCTGCTTTCCCATTGCTGGGGAAAAAATATGTATTAGGTGTTTTGATGACAAGTAGTGATCCTGGTAAGAGTGAGGTGTGCACACAGTAGTGCACATACAGAGGTAAATGATACTATGTGAGCTGAGATGAGCTCATGAATACTTCAATTTGGGATTAATTTGAGATTCAATTTGAGATTCAATTAATTTGAGATTCAATTTGAGATTAAAAATTTGAAATGATTTCTGAGTAAAACTCATGTATAGTCCTCTCAATACTCTATGTTCAGTAGGGAACATGATAAAAATGTACATGAAGCAGTGTCCTATAATCTGACAATGAGGCAAGATATTCTAAGCACAATGAAAATTCACATGCAACACTGTTCCTAGTGACATGGAGAATATATTTTCTTTGGATAAAGGTATCTTATCTGTTGTGTGATACTGAGCACCATACATAACATAACCAGCACACAAGATGCGATAAAAAACCAGGTCAAGAGGCCCAATTGATAGTATCAAGAAGGTGATGAGGAAAATTTTTTTAAAAAGCTAAGTCTAATATTTCTACAATGGCTGGAAAGTGAGTATACCTGGATTCAAACTCCTCATTCCCACAGCAACCACTTTAGTTGGGGCATACATTGAAATTTGGGTTTCATAAAGGGTTGCAATTGAACCTAAATCTCAGACTCAAGAAAGTATAGGCAATCTTATACGTAAAAGTATCTTAACCTTAAGTGTAATCCAGAGATGAC